CACTTAGCTTGTTCACTTAAATTATTTGATAAGTTATATACTTGAAAAGGCAAATTATGGACCAAGATTCACCTAGCATGGTGGGCCTTGGTCCAAAACAACATCATTTTATATTAAGTATCAACTAGTGCAATATATTCAATAACATCATCATGTATTATACACTTAGCTTGTTCACTTAAATGATTTGATAAGTTATATACTTGAAAAGGCAAATTATGGACCAAGATTCACCTAGCATGGTGGGCCTTGGTCCAAAACAACATCATTTTATATTAAGTATCAACTAGTGCAATATATTCAATAACATCATCATGTATTATACACTTAGCTTGTTCACTTAAATTATTTGATAAGTTATATACTTGAAAAGGCAAATTATGGACCAAGATTCACCTAGCATGGTGGGTCTTGGTCCAAAACAACATCATTTTATATTAAGTATCAACTAGTGCAATATATTCAATAACATCATCATGTATTATACACTTAGCTTGTTCACTTAAATTATTTGATAAGTTATATACTTGAAAAGGCAAATTATGGACCAAGATTCACCTAGCATGGTGGGTCTTGGTCCAAAACAACATCATTTTATATTAAGTATCAACTAGTGCAATATATTCAATAACATCATCATGTATTATACACTTAGCTTGTTCACTTAAATTATTTGATAAGTTATATACTTGAAAAGGCAAATTATGGACCAAGATTCACCTAGCATGGTGGGTCTTGGTCCAAAACAACATCATTTTATATTAAGTATCAACTAGTGCAATATATTCAATAACATCATCATGTATTATACACTTAGCTTGTTCACTTAAATTATTTGATAAGTTATATACTTGAAAAGGCAAATTATGGACCAAGATTCACCTAGCATGGTGGGTCTTGGTCCAAAACAACATCATTTTATATTAAGTATCAACTAGTGCAATATATTCAATAACATCATCATGTATTATACACTTAGCTTGTTCACTTAAATTATTTGATAAGTTATATACTTGAAAAGGCAAATTATGGACCAAGATTCACCTAGCATGGTGGGTCTTGGTCCAAAACAACATCATTTTATATTAAGTATCAACTAGTGCAATATATTCAATAACATCATCATGTATTATACACTTAGCTTGTTTACTTAAATTATTTGGTAAGTTATATACTTGAAAAAGGCAAATTATGGACCAAGATTCACCTAGCAAGCTAAGATTTGTTCACTTAAATTATGTATTATATTCATAATATTTGTTCTATATATCTATAAACTAAACCTTATTCCTTAATGTTCATACACAATTATTCCTAAAATTTCAAGATATACACAATAATATATAAACAAAATTTCATAAAATTCCACATATACACACAACAATTCATAATTGACCCACTAACTTATAAAATTAAATATATACACAATTATTCCTAAAATTTCGAAAATATACACAATAATAATATATAAAATTCAAAATTCAAAAAATATATATACATAACCATTTTTAATTTATAATATATATATATATATATATATGTATATTATATTATATTATATATTAAGAATTATATATAATATATATATATATATATATATATATATATATTATATTATATTATATATTTTTATTATATATATATATTATATATTAAAAATGGTTATATATATATATATATATATATATATATATATATATATATATATATATATATATATATATATATATATATATACGTACGTACCTTGCAGGAGAGGCGGCGACCGGCGACGGCGAGGACGGCGGCGAGGACGACGGCGAGCGAGGATGAGGCCGAAGACGACGGCACTGTTGCGAGCGAGGCCGAGGACGACGTCGACGTGCGGAGACCGAGGCCGACGGCAGTGGACAACGGCTTAGGTGGCGGTGGAGAGCATCGGTGGCGTAGGGCGTTCGGCGGCGGTGGCGTAGGGCGTTTGGAGCAGTGAGGAGTGAAATGTTTGGAGTGAAATGTTGAGCTAGGAGTGCCGATCTGAAATGTTGAGCTAGCTAGCTTCATTATTATTATTTTTTTAATTTATGTATACGGCGTCGGCGTTATACGACGCCGACGCCGTATACCATTTAAATATTTTTTTTTAATTATTGGAGATACGGCGTCGGAGATTAATTCTCCGACGCCGTATCTACTATTTATTTTTTATTTTTTTTTTTAAAATTCGAGTATACGGCGTCGGCGATATACGTCGCCGACGCCGTATACCATTTTAATTTTGTTTTTTAATTATACGATACGGCGTCGGAGATTTAACTCCGACGCCGTATCTCCTATTTATTATTTCTTTTTTTTTTTAATTTGAGTATACGGCGTCGGCGTTATACGTCGCCGACGCCGTATACCATTTTTATTTTATTTTTTTTAATTATTAGAGATACGGCGTCGGAGATTAATTCTCCGACGCCGTATCTACTATTTATTTATTTTTTTTTTTAAATTCAAGTATACGGCGTCAGCGATATACGTCGCCGACGCCGTAAACCATATATATATATATTTTTTATTTGAGATACGGCGTCGACAACGTATAACGCCGACATCGTATCTCGTATTTATTTTTTATTTAATATACGGCATCGGCCATACCAATTAACCGACGTCATATGTATTTTTTAAAAAAATAAAAAATAATTTTAAATATTTAACGTCGGATTTTCAAAAAACCGACGTTATAATGTAGACGTTAAATCCGTTTTCTGTAGTAGTGTTACTTTCTGTTTTTTGCTACTTGTGTTTGCCAATTACCAATGCCATAACACTTACCATTACCAATCTCTTTAAGTAAAGAAACAACCCGCCGTTATAGTTAACGGAGTCCGCTTGTTTGGTGTATTAAACACCAACTGACACTATAGTATATCTAAACCGACACTGCAGTTATATCAAAATGATACTGTAGTTATAGTGAAATGAAGCTGCAGTGTATATAAAATGAAACTGCAGTGTATATAAAATGAAACTGAATAACATTTCAAATATTTGAGTGTATATTGTACAATGAAGCTGTAATTATGCAAAATAACCATATTATTATTTATTAATAAAAGTTTGGGCGGGAAACTACACATCACGATTTTATTTTTATTAATAGTATAAATAAGAGATAAGAGATGTATTGTTTTGATTAGTTTTTAGTTCTTACCCCTAACCTTTTGAACTTAACTAAATTTAGTCTAAAATGTATTATATGTTCTCATACAGGGCCATATTTTATGTTTTTGTGGCCCTGTTCTAGTAAATAAATGTGGCCCTACAAAATCACAATTTTGAAAACTAATACATGTTAGTTTCGAACCTTTGACCTCCAAGTTAAAATACAATAAATAAATACACATTCTCACCATCTATTCATGAAACCTTTTAAGTTCAATTGAAAACTTTTAGTTTTTATTTCTAAACTAACTATGTATTATATTTTCTCATATGAAAGAAGGATGATGTTTGGTGTAAATGTGATATTTCAAACGTTTAGATGAAATTTGATCAATTTGTAAACGTTAAATGACTGAAAGTGAAAATGTTGTTATATTGAAGAATCAAAAGCAATTATATATGTCAATAATAGATGTAAATTAGAGAAATGACCATAAAGGATAATGGAATCTATTTCACAAGGTTGTCCATGGACATGTCTGATTAGGGCGACAACATGTGACACCCAAGTTTTGGGGTCCGATTTGTTTTTTCTTAAAGCTAGATATAATCTATTGCTTTTATGCTTTATAATAACGTTTATAGAATTCAAAAGGTTGTTTTAAATGAAATTGAAAATACAACATTAGAAGCATTCAAAAGAAAATACAACATTAGAAGAAATTGATATTTAAATTTTGACAAAAAAAATTTGTATATAAATATACAATAAAAGTGTCACTTTTAAGATAAATTTTGAATTGTATTTCTTTTCTTTATAGAATGTTTATGCATCTTATTTTGACAAAAAAAAAATTATTTATTTTACATTTTTATTTTTTATTTGTACATATATAATAATTTAAATAAAACTTGGTCTAAATTTAACTAATAGACAAGACCCCCATCTTTAGGGGAGGGTACTGTATTCATTTATATATACAAATGATGACATATAACTAGTACACAGATCATAACCAAGCAGGCTATGAATTTAATATTCAAGCTAAGACATAGTAAAATTAAAAATAGAAAGAGAAAGAGAAAGGTGTTTATTGTTAGTATTAATATAGCGCACACATAGACGGGCGGGATTGATATGATGAAGTGAAATGGAGGTTTTCTCAGCACTTGGGAATTGTAACCTTGCAGAGTTCATTGGCTTTCTTGGCAACTGGGGACTTGATGATATACTCATTCAGAGTGGGACTCTTGACGTATTCGCAGAAGCAAGGCTTATGTTGATTAAGCCTCTCGCAGCAGAGTGGTGATGGGTTGGCATTGAGCGTTAAGGCGCTAAAGCAAGGGTCGAGCTGCTTCGCGTCGCAAGCAGCCAACAAAATTGTGCTTCTCCCAAGAGAAGCAATACAACTGCTAGTGTGATGAGGTTAAAGGCCTTCATTTTTGTTAGCATTAATGCAATTGATCTCATCTGATAATATAATATAATCATCTCTCAAGGCCCCATATATATATGGACATCCAGTTAACGTGTAATAGGAAACTTGGGGCTATGATGCATCTTTGGCTTAATTAGTGATTCGGAGAATTTATAGAGAGATTTTGGATGTTAATTAACCAATGGTAAATCTGACGTAGAGCATGTTATTTACCTTTGTGCTTATGTATGTTGTGCACCGTACTCTCATCTAATGGCTATGAGAAAATGTTTAGTTAATTGGTTTGAAGCTTATTGTTTTTTTGGTTTTTATTTTATATATATATATATATATATATATATATATATATATATATATATATATATTTCATATGGTTGAAGATAATTCATTCATGAATATACAGTTGAAAATTTAAAACAACTCAATTTGAAATTCAAAAATTTTTGATTAAATCTCCAAACTATTATCTGCATACTGCCACCAACATTGGACCACAGGAGGAAGTGTGCAGTCTATCTCTGAGCTCCTTTCTAGCTCCAAGTGAGTTTAATTTCGACGATAAAGCTCCAAAACCCAGTTACTTATATCACAGATATAAAGATTGCATTCTCTTATATTTTGCTAAAGGAAACACAAAGGAATGTAAAACCATTTACCTGTACATATCCAGCCGTAAAGAACACCGTACCCTCATCTAATGGCTATGACAAAATGTTTAGTTAATTGGTTTGAAGCTTCATTGTTTTTTTTGGTTTATATATATATATATATATATATATATATATATATATATATATATATATATATATATATATATATATATATTGTTGCAAGTTGGTAATATATTTGGTGAAAAACATATACACATTTCATATGGTTGAAGATAATTCATTCATGAATATACCATTTCATTATGCTGTGTTTGGATTGAATTGAATTTTTTAGTTTGACTGAATACCACATAACCATATAACAAACTTAATAAAGCATCTAGCTACAGAAAGCAGCAAGGATGAAGAATAATAAATGATGTAACTCAACATTTACAAGAACATCCATGGCCATTGCTCAAAGAGGTACTAGGGTGAAAGTTGTCTTTCCCATATTAGCTGATCAAGAAAGTCTAAAAACAATTCCAATAAAGAGTTAAATTTGAAAATCTTGTTGCTACTAAACTAACAACAATACTAAAACAATAGTGTAAAAAATGTGAGGATTTAATTAGAAATTTGAGTCACAATGAAGAAAATACTTAAACAAGAAAATCAAGATTTTAGGGTAGAAAACATCAGTTAGAGATTTAAGGTTAGAGAAATCTAGTACAAAAAAGATAAAAAAAAAAAAAATCTAACAATCTGCGTCCAAAGTTTAAACTTTGGACGCGTAAAGTGGAGGGTGGTGGCATTTTTGTAATTAACATGTCACTATTTATTTTATTTTTTATTTTTTTTAAGTTAAGGACAATCGGCGTCCAAAGTTTGAGAACTTCGGACGCAGATTGTCACACCGCATTTTTAGAAAGATTATCTGCGTCCCATGCTCTCGCACTTTGGACGCAGATAATAAACCAATAAAACTAAAAAGAGTCAACTCAAATTTTGGCCCAAGAAATATTGGGGTGTGGAGAGTTTTCATCATCCATAATTAAAATTGTCAAGTAATAGCAACACTTATTGGTCGTTGGACACTTTTGATCCTCTGTCAGTGAATCCGTCTCTTAACCGTCTAATTGACCGAAGGGTAAAGCTGTCTTTTTATGTGGTCTTCTTCTAATCCTAGTAAAATGTTTTTTGACATCTAAACAACAACTTAAACGAAGTTGTACTCAAGAAACTTAGACGAAGCTTAGTAGTTCAAAGACAACTGTAACCCTAATCAGTTCAAAGTTGATGTCAACCTAAATCGAATCGTTTGTTACCTAATTCGAACCAACCGCTATGTAATTGGAAGACCCACACGAAGTTGTAGTTCGGCATTGATTTTAAAAGGTGAGGACGAAGGGATCAAGCACAATGGATGGGGTCGAACAAGGGGACAACAATACCCCAGGTAAATTTGGATTTTTATGTGTGGTAGGCTATGAAATAGGTTTAATTTGTTGTGGCTTGTTGGATGTACATGTGGTTTCAGAATAATTGCAAAACCCTATGTAAATTTGAGTGTTGTGTGTATGTAGTGAACAGAATAATTCCAAAACACTAGGTAAAATCGAATTATTAGTTATGGGTGTTTTGTTAATGTGTGGTAGGTTATAAAATAGGTTTATTTCTTCTGCTTGTTGCTTGAATATATAGTTTTTGAGTTCTGTGTATATATTGAATTAAATAAGTGCAAGTTGAGTTGCTTTAAAGATTCTGTACATGTCATTGGATGTCTGTTGTTTGATATACATATGCTTTGAATAATGGTGGGGTTGGTGTTTCACTTTATTAAATGCAGTACATCTTCCTTTGTTATTAAAAAATTGTTTGCGTATTGAAATGTAAATGGTGTGGACCATAGGGACCCCAATTTGCTTTGTCTTTTTCCCCTTTTTGTTGCTTTGTTTCCCTTTAAGAGGCATATCAATGGCTATGAGATAAACACCCTTCAAAATGGTTAAGGTCTCATTTCACTCCCTTTGCTAAAAGTGATGCCTTACTTAACAATATTTCTGAAAGTTTCAATGCATTTATTTTAGATGCAAGGGAACAACTACTGATTTCTTGTGTAGAAACTATTAGGAAATTATTGATGGCATAGGGACTCCAATTCGTTTTGTCTTTTTCCCCTTTTTGTTGCTTTGTTTCCCTTTAAGAGGCATATCAATGGCTATGAGATAAACACCCTTCAAAATGGTTGAGGTCTCATTTCACTCCCTTTGCTAAAAGTGATGCCTTAGTTAATAATATTTCTGAAAGTTTCAATGCATTTATATTAGATGAAAGGGAACAACCACTGATTTCTTGTGTACAAACTATTAGGAAATGATTGATGGCAAAGTTGTTTGAAAGTAAACAGAAAGCTATGAAATGGAAAGAACCTTTATGTCCTAACATTATGAAAAGGATAGTTGTAGTTGAGAAGGCTGCAAGTGGGTGTTTAGGGGCTCAAAGTGATGAAAACTTTTTTGAGATTAAGTGCATGTCAATGTTAGGGGGATAAAGCAGCATTGTGTTGATTTTTTCAGGGGTACTTGTAGTTGTAGAAAGTGGGACTTAGCAGGGATACCATGTAAGCATTTTGTGTGTGCCATTTGGATTAGACGTGGAAAAGGTTCAGTACATCAATATGTACACTGTAACACCCCCAAAACAAGACATAAATTTAAAGCATTCAAACTTAGGAAACCAGATAAAGTCTAACCATCATAATATAAAACTACGGAAGTTAACATAAGTGTACGGGATGTCATGCCACATCTAGGTCATCCCAACCTGGACGCATAGGCTTAAACAAAACTAACTATTCAAAAGTCATTAATATCCCAAGTGGCTCACAGGACAAATAAGCTAAGTACGGGAAGATAAAGCTAAGTCTAAACCGGGGCTCCATCTAACGCGCTCTCGGGTCACTAACTGCACCTGAAAACATAAGGTTAGACAACCGTTACCGATAATGCTAAGCAACTCAACTCCAACGCGTTGAAATGCATATTCATAGTAACACCCCACTTTTCTAACTTTTAATTACACCTCTAAACAGTCATTATCATAAACTAAGCAGTGGAAATCTAGATGATAAGTAGTGGGAGTGTCACCGCCACAACCACCACTCTTGGGTGATCGCACAGGCAAAAGGGGTAAAACTACAAATACGATTAAGTCTACGAACTAAAAGTAAATACTGGAAATGTGAGGGGGAAAAACGTCACCCCAACACAGTCTACAACAATCCATCATCATGAAGTCATAATTCTAAATCCATAACATCATCATAAATAAAACTTAGAGTTTAGACATCTCTAACTAAAAGACTAGTCTAACTCGATCTCTTCTCACTGTTGGGCCCACCTGAAAGGGTTTTTGCAAGCAACACATAGACAAACAAGAAAAACACCCGTTAGCACGAAGCTAAGTATAACCACACTCAACCCTGTAAAGCATTCTAGCATATACTTCGAAAGCATTTGATACCTTTATAGCAATAAGCTAATCTTAAATCATCTTTAGATTTATCACATTCCTTCTAGATGCTTGCACCCTATGATATCAACTGGTATACTTATATTATATGTGATCAATCATATATATATATATATATATATATATATAAGTTATATATGTATAAGACTGATCACATAGATTTATCAACATATAGACTTCTCAAGTAGCTTATCAAGCAATTCATGCATACAAATAGGATCATGTTTAAAGATCATATAACAGGTGTTCACATGCTATCACACTCTTATCACATAACTTATTAAGTAGAACTTCTACTACATCACAATAATCATGCTCAAGGATTGTCTCAAGTTAAACTTCTTATAAAACAATCTTTTACGATGCTCTATTCGTATACAATCATGTATAACATTATGATCATGCTTCTCGTGCAATCTAGTGCAACAATATAATCATACTCTTATGCAATCTCGTGCAACAATATAATCATACTCTTATGCAATCTAGTGCAACAATACACTCATATTCTTATGCAATCTCGTGCAACAATATAATCACACTCTTATGCAATCTAGTGCAACAATATTCTCATGCTCTTATGCAAGCTAGTGCAACGATATACTCATATTCATATGCAATCTAGTGCAATAATATAATCATACTCATATGCAATCTAGTGCAACAATATACTCACGCTCTTATGCAATCTCGTTCAACAATATACTCATACTCATATGCAATCTAGCGCAACAATACACACATACTCTTATGCAATCTAGTGCAACAATATAATCATATTCTTATGCAATCTAGTGCAACAATATAATCATACACTCAAATAATAAATAAAGTACTTTCTGTGGAGGTTCTTTGTTACTTTCTCGTTTCTCTCTTGACTCTCTTTCTTTCTATCAAGTCTATATTGACTCTCATACTCGAGTCTCTGTTGACTCTCTTTCTTGAGTCTCTGTTGACTCTCTTTGTAACACCCCGTGTTACGGCCTCTAACCTAAACTAATTATTTATTAACTTACCCTTAAAAGGGAATTGAATTCCCTTAATTAATTAGGAAAGGTCCACCATAGACCATGAATCCCTATCCCTAAACCAAACCCTTAGTCCAAGGAATATAATAAGTAAATCCCTACCATTCAGACCCTAATTAGGACTCTTAGATATATTTAAGGACATAGGAGGCACCTAGAATTCACACCACAATAGATTCCACCACACAAGAATTTCCAAGAATTCCCCCTATCACCAAACGTAGGAGAAATCAAGAAGAGGAGATCTTAGAGAAAGAACCTTAGTAACCAAAGATTCTAATTAAGGCTAAGAGGGAACCCATGTCTCAACAAAACCTATTTTCCTTGCTATAATCTTCTTCTTTGGCTCCATTGATATACAATTCTATGCTTGTGCCTTGATAAGGCTTTTATGATGATTATGAGATAATCTTGATGTTAATGAGATGATCTTATGTGTTGATCTTGATAATCTTGATGTTTATGAGAGGGTCTTGATATTGGTGTGTTGATCTTGATAATCTTAATGTTCTTGATTCTAAGATAAAATTATGATCTTGTGCTTTAAATATGATTAGAGCCCTAGGGTAAATCGTTGATTTCGTAGTATGATATTCTTGGTATGTTTGGGCGGGATTTTGCATGTTTGGGTATTGGGTCTTCATTATGTTTAGAAGTCGTGTTAGGAGGTATTTAATGTGATTCTTGATCTTAATCCATTACATGATTACGTGGTGTCGTCGTTTGTGTTTAAATGGTCTGGACATGGTTTCGGGTTCCACAAAAGATCCCGGGACCAAATTATTACAAAAGAGTCAGCGGGGGGTAGGTAGGGGCAGGGGTACCCGCCACCTACCCAATACCCCATTGAGGCCGCCGGGAGCGGGCATGCGACTGCTCGCCGGGCACCCGCTGCCCAGTGTTGCGCCGCCGGCGGGTGGTCCTCCACCGGCCGGCCACCCGCTAGAAATTCCATGTGGAATTTGGTGGTTTTCCCCGTTTGATGTTTCCCGTTGTCCCATTGGACCGGTTTGTCGTGCCTGAGTCTAGTTTGATGTTTCGGGTACCGTTCGTAGGATAAAAGAGTCTTTTGGCCTAGGTGAAAGATGTATGAACCCCTTAGGCATATATCTAGTAATGTGGTTGACCATGCATAAGCTTTATATACATGTGTTCCCCCTCCCTATCTGCTAATGTGGGTTGCATGTGCTTGGCTATGTGTTATGTGTGCATGATACCCCAATTGGTTGCGATCAATTGGCTATACGGGCAGTTGGATGGGTTGAGAACCATCGGCTGTTAACCAGGCCGGTTGCGATCGGTCAGGTATATAAATATATATATAGGGCTGCGGTCCACCGTTTGGTTACGATCAAACGTTATAAATGAGCTGCGGTTCATCTATCTAGTTGCGATCAGAAATACGCACTATTCGGGCTGCGGTCCACCGTTTGGTTGCGATCAAACGTTACTATATGAGCTGCGGTTCATCGATTGGTTGCGATCAATCTCCTTGTGCTGCGATACAGGCAGGGTGCTTCGGGGCCATGCCAGAGCTATATGCGCTGGCGCTTCGTGTATGGGTGCGTGAAGGGTCCTACGGCACCACTAAATGTGTTTATGTGTTGAGATAATGATTGAATACTGATATGTTTGATGTGAAAGAATCTTGTGACCTCAGGGTGTATGCTAGTATCTTCATATGTGTGATTATAACTGATGATGTGCTTACCTTTACTTGTTGAGTCTATTCTCGGTTTTAAATTAGAGTCTCATAAGTATATATATCTTCCGGCTTCAAAATGGTTTTCCTTATATATATATATATATATATATATATATATATATATATATATATATATATATATATATATATATATATATATATATATATATATACCTATATTGTATTTTAACGCGTTGGAGTGGGTTACTAGCATTATTCGCTGAACAGATATATTTGGCTTTCAAACACAGATGAGTAGCTCCGGAGCGCGCTAGAGGACCTGAAGCTTAGTTTGTTAGTTTCCGTATCGGCCTGCATGCCATGATGATGTATTGACACTGTTTTGAGAATAATTAGATAGTATAGCCTGTGCATCTGAGTTATCAAGCTCAGATGTGGCATAGCACCCCAAACACTTATGTTTAGTTATGCTCTGTTTCGAGGTTTAATGATTGTATTATTGCATTTATTTCATAAGCATTTAAGGTTTTAAATTTTAGGGGTGTTACACTCTTTTTTTCTCTTATACTCGTAGACGGCTTAGGGTTTCACAGAAGTGTGACTTACCCCATCGGGAACGGCATAATTCCAACCCAATATCTCCTACCGTCTACGGAACCAATCTCGTGGTTCAAACTCTGTGGAATCAGGTATCGAACTATTAGTGTGCACACCCCCTAACCAGGATTCCAAGCCCGGCGGGAAGTTTCCAACCTCGTAACGTGGGAATACGCCGCGTTACATATACTGGGACCGCAATGTCCATAATAATCTCCCGAGAGGAACATAGTCCAAACGGTATCCTCCAAAACCTCACCGATATAGATAATACATAAATATATCTCTCATGCAACAATCTCATGTATGCAATAATTCTATTACTTCTCAATGCATCAAAGGATAATCTACCACATGCTTATCGTTTTTGAAAATATTCTTGGACTCACGTTGGCCCTTTATGCATCTTTGAAATATGACTCATGTGAAATGTCAAAATGCTCTATAACATGCTTCTAAATCATGTATACACTAACATGAAGTATTCAAAAATATATCAACATGCTCGATCGGTTTGCAAAATAGCAATTTCTATACATTTCACTCAACAAGTATGCTTCTATTCTTATTGATCATATAATACAATTTAATCATGCTATCATAATAAATCATATTCTCAAAGGATCATGCTTCTTTACTCAATAAAAACATTATTTGATTACATAATCAACAATTTCTCAAACACAGAGAATTTAGCAAAATATGCACTGTGTAACAATTCTTCACAAAATCATTCTTAACATCCTTGTTTTTAATCCAAATTCCACGAAATCAAAGCCAAAACGTGCATAAAGACGAACCCGAAGAGCTGAGCCACAACGGCCCGTAACACTCGGTCCGAAACGACACCTAGCTGAGCCACAAGAGCCCGACCACTGCACAAAAATCTCATTAGAACAATACTCAGGGACCTGGGGCCGGACGATCTTTATGGTGCGCCCCTGGAGTTCCGTTAAGAAGCCGGGACTAGGCGACGGCCCTCTTCTAGGGCCGTGCCCTAGTCCCGTGGTGACACGGCTCTAGCCGGCGGCCCTTCAGATGGGCCGCGGCTAGGGCCGCCACTCTGGTCTGGTGCACATTGTGTTGTGCACCAGATAGCATTTCTCCTGCAAAAACTTATCCAAACATGTCCAAAACAATCTCAACAACTCATAAACACATACCAAAGCATTTCTAATCATAAACACATCAAAAACTCTTAATTTCTATTCATTTATACTCAAAACTAGGCTTCACAGAGCCAAATCTAAAGAGGAATCCATGGGGTTATACCTCTTGTAGTCTAGTCTTCTTGCTTGGATCTCTTCTTCCCCTTGGCCTAGCTTGAACCTCCTTTACCACCTACACTTCCCATCACACCTTCTATGCTTAGCCTAGATCTTCAAAGACTAAAGAGAACTAGAAGAGAAAAGATGCTAGAATGAAGGATGAACAAGCTTACTAGGTTGATGTTTCTCTCCTTTGATGTTGGCAAACAAAATGTGAGGAAGAGGCAAAGAAATGTGATCAGGAAACTGTGATGGAGTGAAGGGTTTATATAGGGTTCAAAACCCTAGGATGATTCACAATGGTTGGTTGGTTGGTTGGATGACTTTATAAGGGATTTTTGGATGTCTTGTGGTCCACCATGTATCATGAACCATGGGCTAGAAATGATATTTCTTTATTATTTTTGGGGTGGAAAGTGAATTTTCCCAAAAGCTATATGGATGAACACTTGTTCAAAATTCCCTTTTGAATTCTCCCGGTCTCACTCGGATGAAATTCTCGATTTAAATCTTTGTACGCAAAGTACCCAAAAACTTTGGAATTTTCGAATGAAATTCATTTCTTCGGTGTCGAATAAACTTTAAAATGGAACAAAATTATTTTATTCAAACACCGATTGCTCGCAAAAATTTTTAATGGAGTGAAAAAGCTACTTTGGGACTTCTTAATACTGGATTTATAAAAGGAAACTTTTGGGTTGTTACATATACTTTATAGGTAAAAACCATTTTGAGACTTGGGAATATATATATATATATATATATCCCTAAAGAACTCTAGCTTTACAAATCAAGAGGAATAGAAGCAATACTCAACTCCTCGAGGGATGCACTCGACAATACCAATCAATACACAAGAATATCAATAGAATTAGCCCAACAAGACAATGATAATGGAATAAGGATCACAAGCAAGATAGGATAATCACAATCATCAACAAGGTGGTTCTCATCATGTTACACAATCAATCAATCACCAACAAGGTTCCAAATTCTCAAAGAACACAGCCAAACCAAGTCATTCACCGCGGAGTCATCACAACGACTCGAATCATAATGGATTAGTATGAGGGAGCTCAAACTAATAAGTACCGCTAGGTCAAATACCCTAGTATAGATTTTGCAGGGTCGTAGACCCGATAGAGATTTCAACGGGGTCACTAAGACCCGATTATGGTTTCTGCGGGGTCAGAGGACCCGATTCATTCTTTCTGCGGGGTCAAAGACCCGATTCAATAATTCCGCGGGGATCAAGTCCCAATTCAAATATACCATTATCTCGAATCCCGATAAGAAAAGACCCAACTGTCCATCATACCAATTCAATCATCAGCACAAGAGTTCAACACACAAGAAATCTAGAGATATAAAGCAAAGGTATAGATTCCACAAGAAGTGTGTACAACAACGGATAAGCTCAAAAAATAGCTCAATCAAAGAATCATCAAGACAAGGTACAACGGTGTATACGCTCACAACGATAGATCCAAGTGGAATGAATTCAAGAAAGAGATACAAAGAAGATAATCCAAAGGCAATACCACAATATCAAAGGATTCCAACAAGAGCTCACAACGAATGGATAAGCACAAGTTATCAATTCAATCAAGAAGCAAACGATAGTTATCACAAGGAAATCACATACTAGTACCAAGAAACAACATAACTAGCATGCATGCTAACAAAGTAATCGCTAGGGTTCATATGAATATCACAAACTTCATTAAAATCCAACGAATCACAATATTGGATTATAACCACGATTCAAGACTCATAACCTACTCATATGGTTCACAATACACCGCTCTAGACTTACGAAACATCAATAAATACACTGAAATACACATTGGAACAACAAAACGGAAGCTAACCAACATCGTACAAGTGGGGGGGGGGGGGGGGGTCCCAGCGAGTGGAAAAGTACCTACCTAAATTCCACACCGTACCAGCGGGTACCAAACCACCCGCCGATCCCCTGCTGTACAACAAAGCACCGCCGGGTGCTTTAGGCGGGTACCACAGGGCCTGCCCAGAGTGCCCGCTGGTACACGGGTAATAGCCAAAAAGGGATTTCGGGGAAAAAATGACAAGAATGTGAAACCAACTCCAAACTCATCAATACTCACATCCACAACAAATAGGACTCGAATAGAAGGAATAGCTCAACAAATAGCATCATACAACCCTAAATACAATCTCAACAATAGCATAATCACAAGAATATGCATCAAACCACACATGATCATCAAGAAATACATTTACACGAGGAAAATAGGTTTTGTTGGACATAGGGTTACCTCCTTAGCTAGCAAAACCTCAAAGCAACACTACAAGCTCCTTTAGATCATCCTAGCATCTCACCAATCACTTGATCTTCATCAAAACCCCCAATAACCCAACATAGAAATAAGATAAAGATTAAGAGAAAGTAAAGATATCTTAGATAGAAAAGATGTAGAATGGCTTGATCTTACCACTTCTAAGCATTATGAGATGGAAAGGTGGAATCTTTGGTCTTGTTTCTTGAGTTGGAAGATGAATGATATTCTGGGTGTGAAAGGGGAAGGAGATTAGAGGAGAGGAAGAGAATGTAAGAAATGTCTAGGTTAGGATTCTTGTATGGGTAAGGTGAGTTATATATATTCATGTGTATGTATTAGGGTATTCAAGAATAAGATATGGGTCTTTATAATATGGGTACACTTTATTACTAGTTCAGGAGTATTTACATGGGTTTGGGCTAGAAGAATTAAATACCATGTAAGCATGTTGTGTGTGCCATTTGGATTAGACGTGGTAAACGTCCAGTACATCAATATGTACACCCTCGCTACTCTATATATTAGCAACTACTTGAACACTTATGTGGAGGAAGGATTAAGCCGCTTGTTGGTCCTAAAGAATGGCCCAAGTCAAGCAAGGAACCACCATTGTCTCCATTGTACACTAGCAAACCTGGAAGACCAAGAAAGTTGAGGAAGACTGGCAGAGATGAAATAACCAAAGATGGCACACATGTACCCCTACTTTGCTTGTTAAGCATTAAAGGAAATGCAACAAAATAGGTCATAACTCTAGGACATGCCCTGATGATCCAGCTGCAAGACAAAGAAAGGTAATGTTGAGTTATTTAAATGTTGAGTTCTGGAGTAGATTTACATATTTAAATGTTGAGTTGTTTATTGTTCTTTTCTGATCATGTAGCTGACTCCAAAAAAAAGATTAATACAAAGAAAAAAAGTCATTCTGCCCCATCAGTTCAACCTTCTGCCCAAGAAGAAAATGTTGAGTTCTGGAATGAAGCAGCAGATCGAAATGGTAGCTTTGTGTAACAATGCACCTATGGCAGGTTTGGTTGGAACTCAACCTGAAGAGATCTTTACTACTCAGCCAGAAGGTATCTTTGATAACACTCAGGCAGCAACCATCGCTCAGCCACCAAGCAGACCTCCCAAAATGTGTACATTAGGGTTAAAATCAAGGAAGATGAAGAATACTTCTCCTACTGTTGGTAGGATTACTAGATCCAAAACAACTCTCAAGTCTAGGTTCACCAACACCTCTAACACACCTCTAAACATTGATTGAAGTTGAGTTCTACTTTTATTTTTGCCCACATTCTAGAATGAGTTTTTGCTAGGATGAAACTGATACTTGGATGTATCTTAGGTCAGATTATGGATTAGTTTTTTGCTAAGATGATGTACGAAAACATTTTGGTTTTTTGATACAATGATGTATGAAATCATTCTGGAATGACATGTCTTGTTTCCAACATTTACTTTCTATTTTTTGCTACTTGTGTTTGCCAATTACCAATGCCATAACACTTACCATTACCAATCTCTTTAAGTAAAGAAACAGCCCGCCGTTATAGTTAACGGAGTCCGCTTGTTTGGTGTATTAAACACCAATTGACACTACAATATATCTAAACCGACACTGCAGCTATATCAAAATGATACTGTAGTTATAGTTAAATGAAACTGCAGTGTATATAAAATGAAACTGCAGTGTATATAAAATGAAACTGAATAACATTTCACATATTTGAGTGTATATTGTACAATGAAGCTGTAATTATGCAAAATAACCATATTATTATTTATTAATAAAAGTTTGGGCGGGAAACTACACATCACGATTTTATTTTTATTAATAGTATAAATAAGAGATAAGAGAAGTATTGTTTTGATTAGTTTTTAGTTCTTACCCCTAACCTTTTGAACATAACTAAATTTAGTCTAAAATGTATTCTATGTTCTCAGGGCCATATTTTAAGTTTTTGTGGCCCTGTTCTAGTAAATAAATGTGGCCCTACAAAATCACAATTTTGAAAACTAATACATGTTAGTTTCGAACCTTTGACCTCCAAGTTAAAATACAATAAATAAATACACATTCTCACCATCTATTCATGAAACCTTTTAAGTTTAATTGAAAACTTTTAGTTTTTATTTCTAAACAAACTATGTATTATATTTTCTCATATGAAAGATGGATGATGTTTGGTGTAAATGTGATATTTCAAACGTTTAGATGAAATTTGATCAATTTGTAAACGTTAAATGACTGAAAGTGAAAATGTTGTTATATTGAAGAATCAAAAGCAATTATATATGTCAATAATAGATGTAAATTAGAGAAATGACCATAAAGGATAATGGAATCTATTTCACAAGGTTGTCCATGGACATGTCTGATTAGGGCGACAACATGTGACACCCAAGTTTTGGGGTCCATTTGTTTTTTCTTAAAGCTAGATATAATCTATTGCTTTTATGCTTTATAATAATGTTTATAGAATTCAAAAGGTTGTTTTAAATGAAATTGAAAATACAACATTAGAAGAAATTGATATTTAAATTTTGACAAAAAAATTTGTATATAAATATACAATAAAAGTGTCGCTTTTAAGATAAATTTTGAATTGTATTTCTTTTCTTTATAGAATGTTTATGCATCTTATTTTGACAAAAAAAAAAAAAATTATTTTACATTTTTATTTTTTATTTGTACATATATAATAATTTAAATAAAACTTGGTCTAAATTTAACTAATAGACAAGACCCCCATTTTTAGGGGAGGGTACTGTATTCATTTATATATACAAATGATGACATATAACTAGTACACAGATCATAACCAAGCAGTCTATGAATTTAATATTCAAGCTAAGACATAGTAAAATTAAAAATAGAAAGAGAAAGAGAAAGGTGTTTATTGTTAGTATTAATATAGCGCACACATAGACGGGCGGGATTGATATGATGAAGTGAAATGGAGGTTTTCTCAGCACTTGGGAATTGTAACCTTGCAGAGTTCATTGGCTTTCTTGGCAGCTGGGGACTTGATGATATACTCATTCAGAGTGGGACTCTTGACGTATTCGCAGAAGCAAGGCTTATGTTGATTAAGCCTCTCGCAGCAGAGTGGTGATGGGTTGGCATTGAGCGTTAAGGCGCTAAAGCAAGGGTCGAGCTGCTTCGCGTCGCAAGCAGCCAACGAAAATTGTGCTTCTCCCAAGAGAAGCAATACAACTGCTAGTGTGATGAGGTTAAAGGCCTTCATTTTTGTTAGCATTAATGCAATTGATCTGATCTGATAATATAATATAATCATCTCTCAAGGCCCCATATATATATATGGACATCCAGTTAATGTGTAAGAGGAAACTTGGGGCTATGATGCATCTTTGGCTTAGTGATTCGGAGAATTTATAGAGAGATTTTGGATGTTAATTAACCAATGGTAAATCTTACGTTGGGCTACCGCACAGGGCCCCCAATTTTAGAGGGGCCCCAAATTTTAGAGGTCCAATATTTAATTTTTACCTAGCTAGTTTAGAAATAAAAATTAAAAGTTTTCAATTAAATTTAAAAGGTTCCATGAAGAGATGGTAAGAATGTGTTTTTATTGTATTTTAACTCGGAGGTCAAAGGTTCGAAACTTGCATGTATCGATTTTAAAAATTGCAATTTTGGTAGGACCACATTTATTTACCAGAACAGGGCCACCAAAACTTAAAATACGGCCCTGGTGCTTATGATAGGCACCGTACCCTCATCTAATGGCTATGACAAAATGTTTAGTTAATTGGTTTGAAGCTTCATTGTTTTTTTGGTTTATATATATATATATATATATATATATATATATATATATATATATATATATATATATAGACACATTTCATATGGTTTAAGATAATTCATTCATGAATATACAATTGAAAATTTAGTTAATTGGTTTGAAGCTTATTGTTTTTTGGTTTATATATATATATATATATATATATATATATATATATATATATATATATATATATATATATTGTTGCAAGTTGGTAATATATTTGGTGAAAAACATTTACACATTTCATATGGTTGAAGATAATTCATTCATGAATATACCATTTCATTATATTGTGTTTGGATTGAATTGAATTTTTTAGTTTGACTGAATACCACATAACCATATAACAAACTTAATAATGCATCTAGCTACAGAAAGCATCAAGGATGAAGAATAATAACTGATGTAACTCAACATTTACAAGAACATCCATGGCCATTGCTCAAAGAGGTACTAGGGTGAAAGTTGTCTTTCCCATATTAGCTGATCCAGAAAGTCTAAAAACAATTCCGATAAAGAGTTAAATTTGAAAATCTTGTTGCTA